AAATTATATTTTTAATTGTTAACAGTTTCTTTTCTGTAGGAGCCTAGTAAAGAGGGAAGCAAAGTGTCTAAATCCCACAAAATGGCCAAGGAGCATCGAGAGCGGCCACGAAAAGACTCTGAGAGCAAGACCACATCCAAAGGAGATGTTGAACGGGACGGCAGCAGCAAAAGTAGCCGCGACCCTTCCTCATCTTCATCTTCATCATCCAAGAAAACAGAGATCAAAGTGAAAGACGAGAACAAAGTCCTGCCCAAAGCTGCTTTCAAGGAGCCCAAGCTCACGCCGAAGGAGTCCAAAATGGAAGGCATGTCTCCTAAAGGAGGGGGAGCGGGGTCAGCAGGCGGTGGAGGGGGAGGAGGAATGGCCGATGGAAAAGCACCCAGCAAACGACCTTCCAATGCGGAGTCACCCAAACCTAGTGTCAAGAAGCCAAAGAAGGGGGGTTCAGAGGGGTCAAAAGGCTCCAGCAGTGGGGGGTTCACCGGCACCTCCCCCCGAACCGCGTCTTCCTCCACGGCCTCCTCGGGATATGTGGATAAGAAGGCCTCTAAAGAGAAGGGCCGCTGGGCCAAGGGCAAGTCAGAGGCCCAGGAGGTCAAGGAGTCCAAGAAGCCTCCGGAATCCGATGACTCCAACTCAGATGATGAGGCCTCGTCTAAGTCTGAGGTTAGAATCAAGCTTTGTTTACAAGATCTGTTTTGGATTTTAAGGCAAGATAACACTTTTTTTTTTTAAATTTTTTTAAAATTTAAAATAAGTTAGGGGATGGCAGTTTAAAAAAATGTAAACTGTATATATATATATATTTTTTTTTTCCCACAATAACATTAATTAATTAATATAAGTGAGGGTTGGCAAACGTTTTAAAAGTGTTGCATTTCATTTGTTTTTGTTTTATTTTTTACAATAAAAATTTGTTTATTAATTTGATTTTAAATAAGTGAGGGGTTTTCAACCTTTTTATCAGTGTTAAATTTAATTTGAAATTGATCATAATTTAATTAATTCATTTTATTTATTTTTTCATGTATTTATTTTTTCTACATAGAATTGGGTGAGGGTTTGCCAACCTTTTTAAGAAAGCCTTCAATTTAATATTATATATATATATATATATATATATATATATATATAATTTTTTTTTTTACAATATAATAATAATAATAATACATATATAATAATATATGTATTTAAGTGAGGGGTTGGCAACCTTTTTAACAAAGGGTTCAATTTAATTTGTGATTTCTTTCAAAATATTTATTTATTTAAAAAAAAAGTCAGGGCTTGACACAATGTTAAATTATTTAATATTTTTCACAAACAAAAAGTTATTTATAATTTGAAATTAATTAATAAATAAATACATCTACAAATTAAGACAAATTAATTTGTAGAAAAATCTACAAATTAACTTTACCAATATGTGAAAAAGGTTGCCAACTCCTGACCTAAAGCTGACATCAGTGATAAAGAAAATCTTTAATTTGTGTCCTGTCCACTCCATCCCACAGCAGTCAGCACCTTCCAGCCCGTCTAATTCCAGCTCCAGCTCAGAGTCCAGCTCCGACTCAGACTTTGAGCCACAGCAGAAACAAGGCCAAGGTAGGATCTGCTCTTTTACTGCAGGGAGGGTCCTGATAAGAAGCAGTCAGATCCATAAATAGATTTCCCTACTACACTTTAACTCAAGGTTAACATTCTGCTGCTTTGATTGATTATCATGGAGAGGGTTAAGGATGTGTCAGATCAAGGCACTTCCTTAAAATGAAGGAATGAGGGGTATTTTTTAAAAAGGTGATGTGTGCAATTTGTCATTGTCGATATTACAAATCCTTGTTCCTTTCTCATTTATTTTGTAACATCCAGTCCAACAAAGAACTTAGGCTTAACTAATAAAATGAGTTCGGGTGAGACATTTTGAATTTCCAAAGGGTGCCGCGACTAAAAAAAGGTTGGGAAACACTGGTCTAACCAATGGCGGGTGGGAGGAGTTTTAAGGAAATCTGTTAGAAAACAGTCATTAGTTTTCCAATCCTGTTTGGTCGAGCTAGTGGTGCAGAAATGACAGACTTCACCTTTAAAGTGGGAGTTTGAAAGTTCAGTCAAACCACCATATATGTTGCAGAAGCTCATTGTGGATTTTGGTCTGTAGGCCCGCTGCGCTCTATGGTGGAGGACCTCCAGTCGGAGGAGTCGGATGATGACGATAGCAGCTCAGACGAAGAGACGCTAGTCAAGAACAACCTGCCCGGTCAAGACTCCAGGTCATTCTCCCTCTTTCCTGTCAATGTTTGTTTAAGCACGTCTTTCAGATGCTTTAAGTCCCTTTAATCAATGTTAGCAGAGGCGGAGAACGGATTTGTTTGCTCAGAGTAAACACTTCACTTCATACGCCTCACTCTATTCTTCATCTTACTCAAGTGTTGCTGAGCTGCTTTGAAAGACTTATTTTTGTGAGGCTAGAAGTATGAGATAAATGGTAGAATTGGATTTTCTTTCAGTGTTTATTGTTTATTATAATTATTCTTTAAAATGAATGAACGGTCTGGTGAAAAACACTGTAACGGTGGTCCATGTGACTCATGCACTATATTCCATGTCTTCTGAAACCATTAAAGATTTGTTTAAAATGTAAACCTTTCATTGAAAATCTTGACATCTGACTTCATTCGTCTAGCGTTAAAACTAAAAAGTAGTCAAATCCGATTCGTGAATTAATCAATAATCATTCTTTTGCGTCAGATCTTTTCAATGAATCTGTTGACCCCATTCCCAAAACTGGTCTGAATGATTAGTTTAGAAATCTGACAGATGCAGTTCTCAAGTTCAAGTTGAGCAATTCAGTGGTCCATTTGCAGCAGTTAACAGCTCACAGGAGGATTCTCAGTAAATAACAACTTAAATTTAAGTCTGTTCCTCACACAAATCTATTGTATGCCTTCAGAAGGTTTGGAATATAAGTGCACAAGCCGTATGGACCATTTTTACACCGCCTTTGTGTCTTTTTCAAAGCTTGAAAGCTCCACTCTCCATTCATTGTAATTGCATGGAAAAGAGTGACCAGAACATAATTAAAAACTATTCCTTCATGAAAAGTAAAAGTCCTTAAAGTTATGTATATGACAGAATTACATTTTTTTTGCTTTGTTAATCCTTTCATTTCCTCACAGAGTTTAACTGTTTGATGTTCGCCCTTCACAGGCTGAGCTTAGACAGCGAGAGTGACTGCAGTGACGGGCCGCAGCGTCCCAGTCGAGACCCACCACCTCAGCCACAGAAACACAGCACCACCAACAACAAGGTGAAGTGATACTCAGGACTGTGGCGGCTTCTTGTTAAGCCTTGGCAGTCATCCAATTGGTGTGTTTATTCATTCAGTCATGCCAATCGTTCAGTTTGGAGCACACACTGTTTTGTTGACTGTCAGATGATGGACGATTGGCATTAGTTCTTGGATTATGCTGCGCCCAGTGTTGAAATGAGGTGGTGACACGCAGCTTTTGATCCAGTGACTGTGGAATGCTGCTTAACTGGGTGCTGCCAGTCAGATCACTGGGATTTGGAGCAGCGCTCCAGGCACTGGTGCACTCTTACTGGAAAAACACTGCAATAGATCAATGTCTTGATTACTCATTCTTTAAACCATTATTTCAGTCCATCCATATGATTTTTTTCTTTCTTTTCTCCATCTTGTTCCTTTCCTCTCTGTTTCCTTTTGTCTTTCTGTCATATAGGTGTCAGGCAGAAAGAGTCCAGACCCTTGTTTACGACAAGAAAAGGTCCTGAAGAAGGGATACGACAAGGTAGGAAGGGTAAATCAATCTTTTAATTTTCCACCTCTCACTCCCATAAGTTACTTCTATTTGATCAAGTCGACCCAACTTCTTAAACCTTGTGAGCTGCCTTGCTGTTTGCTGCCCACATACATTATGTGCCCTGTTTAGGAATACTGAAAAGAAACTTCAATTGCAAATGTAGTTTTTCATTAGCATGTTACTAAGCTAATAAAGTGATGCATTACATTTAAGCATTTGGCAGGCACTTTCATCCAAAGCACATGTACATTTTACCAGTTTCTTGCTTTCTCTGGAAATCAAACCCATGACCTTGGCATTGCTAGTGCCATGCTCTACTGAGCTACAGGAAAGTCTGATAGTCTAATAAGCATAAAAAATAATAATGTAAAATTATATTAAAATTCTATAAATAGATTATATGATAACTAGTTAGATTTCAATAAAATATTGTATCAATAAAATACATGACATCAGCAACTACTCTTATTATTAACAACAATGGCTCATATTATTATAAAGCATGTTTTGGAACGGCCTCTATATCGGGAGAGTGTCTTGGTAACTTGAAATGCTGCCTAGGTAGGCAGTTCACTAGTTTTGGACCTAAGTTCCATTCAGTCAGTGCACAATGCATGACATCATGCTACTGATTGTAGTTTGTAAAACTGCTCTTTCAACTAATTTAAGTAAATATGGGTGACTTTTTAAAAACTTTTAGTGCTAATACAAGCTTATATGTGTTTTCAGAGTAAAAACTGACCTTCTGCTATTGACATCATCTTCTTCTCTTTTATTCAGGCATACACTGAAGAGCTGGTAGACCTTCATCGCAGGCTGATGGCGTTAAGAGAGCGTAACATTCTACAGCAGGTGGGTGTTTGCATGTGAATTAAAATAGCTTGCGTTTGTGTACAGGCTTTAAACAAATACCATTGACCCGTTTCCTGCCTCCAGATCGTGAACCTCATTGAGGAGACCGGCCACTTTAATGTCACCAACACAACTTTTGACTTTGACCTTTTCTCATTGGATGAGTCAACTGTCCGTAAACTACAGAGCTACCTGGAGGCCACCGCCACATGACGGGGGGGGGGGGGGGGGGGGGGGGGGGGCTGCCCTATATCACTTCTTTTGTCCTGAGAGAGGGCTGCAAAAGTTGAAAATCTGTTCACAGAGAATGAAAACAGTGGGAAATCTTGAAAAGGAGTGAAACATACAGTATTTTGAGGAGGAAGTGCAGCTATGTACCAACACTACAACACTTCTTCTCTCCTCCTCAATATCCTGTTGGACAGAAAGTTCTCTTCTTAACGGGGCCAGAACTGCTTGAAGGTCATATTCGAATCAGCCGGAAAGAAAACAAAAAAAGTCTCCCTGTAGCCATACGCACTGATGCATCAAGGATTGCAACCTTTTATATTTTATTTTTGTACCAATGTTTTTCAAGGTATTTTTGATTGTGGTCGGAAAAGGAAGCCCCGCACGCCATGAATGTATCGCATTTTATCTTCTAGGGCTAGTCTTAGTGCCTTTTTCACACCATCTCATTTGTGCTCTTAGGAATTACAGCAGTGTTATCTTTCACTCCGACTTTAGTCAATCTTTCTCTATATGTGGGATACCTGGATATCGTCCCAGGGAGATTCTAGTTTGTATGCCAATATGTATCAATCCTCATTTATGTGTTCGCCAAACGGGCCTTAGAACTTAAATGTCGTGCATTGCTAGTGCAGCTTGTGAAAAGTATTTGAAAATCTGTGTTAATCTCTTTTTTTGGCATCATATATGGTTTATTCATGAGACTATGCGGGAGAGACAAAAGAAAAGGACGAGACGAGCTGTTTTCCTCTCATGTGACCCCTGAAACAGCAGTCTGTAGATTCACTGTGCTTCTGACTCTGACTCTCTCTCAGAGCAACTATATCTCGACTTCACTGACTTCACCTCTGTGTTCATTGTTATGCTAATAGCTTTAAGAGGCTCCGTGGCCTGAGCTGCAGACCACATGCCCTTAACTTCACCCTGCGAGTGTCTGGGAGTGTCGTTTGCGTGGGTTTTGAATCTCCAACTGATTCGTCTGAATCTTAGCGAACAAAAACGTTTATAGCTTCATACTGATTTAGCATATTTGTGTGGTTTTCAGCAAGTGAATGAACGAGTGTCATGTGCGTGAACTTTTAACTCCCAGTTCTTGGTGTGTGAACTTTAACCTTTGACCGGATACTAGTTCAGGTCAGCCTGTCATAAAGGGGTGGGGCAAGAGGCAAAAGGGGGTGGAGTTCGGTGAACTTGAGTGGCAGCTCTGAAAAGAGCACACCCGGTTGTTTTTTTTTTTTTTAAACATTATTTGAGGGGGTTGTTTTTTTATTTATGTACCTCTGCACTTTTGGCTTTGTTGACTCAAGTACTTAATTGTCTAAATTGTATTTTTAATAATTTTATACAATATTTACATGCAATATGATATTATTTTGTCGATTTTTGTGTCAAGAAATGCCAGCCTTTTTTTTTTCCCCTCTCTGTATCAGCACATTATATGTCATAGACTGGATACGTGACCATCAGAACTTGAAACTGTTACTTCAGGCCAATTTATGAGTTCATAGCAGGGTGTGTTTGTATATCAGAGTTGAATTTCTACAAGTTGACATCTAGCATCTGTTTTGTTGTAGCCTCATTATTATCCACTACAAAGGGAGGACTGCAGATTTGCGAAACGAACAAGTATTTGTTAATGTATTTGATTTAAACCATGCTGAAAAGCTGGTTTGCTTGTCATAGAGTGGTTTTGGGCACTTGATCGGTTAAACCAGCTAAGACCAGTTGGTTGAAGTTTTTTTTTTTTTTCCAGCAGGAAAGTGGAGAACCTCTGTGTTTTGTACATGGGATGCAGCAAAGAAACACTAATGGAGGGGCAAATATTTCAATCATATTACATAGATACACATGTATAGTAGACAGTGGGAGCCTTTTTTACAGGAGTCTGAGGAAACATTAATCAACGGTTAATACTGCATCATTTTCACATATTTCGCTTGAAGGTTCAGAGAGCTGCCTTTTGTCAGTCAGTGGTGTTTTTATTTGTGGTTGTGAGCGCGGAAGAACTTGCTGTATTTATCCGTGGGGTTTGGGGAGGCCTGGGTTTTTACATATGTTCAGATAACGTGGTCGAAAACCTTCCGTGATCTGAACAGAAGAGTAAACTTTAGTATGACGTGTTAAACTTGGCATACAATGCCACCATGTGGTCATTTGATGCAAGTTGTAATAAGGGCAAAAGATGTTACTTTTTATGTTTTATTGAAAAATCATATTATGAATAAAGTCTTTTGAGTACTGTTCACAGCGGCTTTTTTTACTAGTTTAATTTTTAGAGGCCATCTTAACTGCTTAACCATCTTTATAAGCCTCAGGTTAAGCATTGTTTTACAGGTACGTTTATTGCGTTTTATTTGATATTTAAAATTATTTATTTGATGAAAATACAGTAATATCGTGACATGTTATTGCAATTTAAAATAAAAGTATTTGAATGTTTTATTTTTTTTTATTCATTCCTGTGACAGCAAAGCTGCATTGTCAGCAGCCATTACTCCGGTCTTCAGTGTCACATGATCCTTCAGAAATCATTCTAATGTACTGATTTTATGCTCAAGAAACTTTTTTTTTTATGTGCTGCTTAATGTTTTTGTAGATTTTTTTTCTTCAGGGTTTAAAAAAAAAAAAAAGCATTTATATGAAATGATCAGTATGATAATTTCTATTTGTAGAGAGAGAAAAAAAAAAAAGATTTGAACATGTTAATGAAGCCCTGATCCACATTGTGGTGCCAAATGATAACTCAAGATCATGTTACCAGGGTTAAAATCACCCTGTCTTAATTCCTATTACAAGTCTATCATCTGATCTAGTTTTTCAAATTATGATCTTTTCTTTTTAAACTGATCCAAAAAAATAATCATTAGCAGAAGCATTGAAACAGCTCGAAGAATATTTACTAGCTGTATTTTATTGAAACGCCACTATACACACATGCCTATAAGCTATTTTTGATACTGGTGACTAATTAATATTCAAGTCAAAGGACAACAACTTTTAAGACTTGATCATGGTTATATCACATTTATTGTCCAGTAAAGGGATAATTCACACATACATACAAGTAGAAACCTGGAGTTCCATCTCCCAAAATCATCTATGTTCTGTAGTCCAGTTTCAACAATGACATGCATGTTTCAGAAACCCTTAACATCACACTACGCACAACAAATTGTCACCCAGTTCAAGAGTTTTCAGAGTCAGGTAAAACCAGGCAAACCTTTCAGTCTGAGACTTCACTTCATGTTCATGTTTGCACATTTCCAAATGGAGTGCCCTTCATGCTTGTCAAGATCTAGATACATTAAATCACAGTATTTTTGTCTAAAAATTTTTTTTTTTTTTAACAAAATGCAAGTGGATTTGAAAAAGAAAGAAGAGTAATTTAGTTGATTTAGTTTAACCATAATAGATATCCCAGATAGAAGAAAGGAAATCACTCACTAGCTCTACCTTCATTCTCACCAATTCTGATCGAGCAAACAATTTGTCTCATTTCATGCACAAATTACTTAAAGTCTAACTATTTACAAAAAGGCATCACTGTGGTCATGCTATGCAGTCAGAGTATACACACTTTGGAGTAACAGGTCCAGTATTTGAGGAAAGCTCTTAAGTGAGATAAAACTAATCTATTTACAGAGGAAAAATCATATCTTTGGATTTGCATTAAGTGATTTGCAGTTACGTTTTTTTTTTGTATATTCAAGCACTTGACTGATTAAATAGCACTTCCTAATTCACAAACTTTCCAAAGTTTGATAATTCGACCTCTTTGATCAACCCATATGCTTTTTCTAAATTGCATTTTAATCATTATACTATGCAGTATACAATATAAATATAATCGGTTACATTTTCGGTCGAAATATCCTTATTGCACATGCAAAGCAAAGAATGCAACATAGCTTGGCGAATCAAATCCTGACCTCTGAACAGATCTATTACTCACACCAGCTCCTTCACATCCCTTTCTTCATAAGATAAATATTAACCGCTTCTCTCAGTCCAGATTAAATGGTTTTTCATAAAGACACTAGACTGCATGACATCCAACATCGTGCTACTTTAAGGATTGTCAGAGTGATGCAGCAAAGCATCAAATAAGACCACAGAAGAAGAGCCAATGCAATAACATATTTACACTATATAACAGGTTCATTTTGCAAAAAATTCAAACGACAAAATAACCATCTGCATAAGCGAAACAAACATTCAAACAAATGGTTACGAAAAGCAAACACAGAAACATTTATGGCTTATATGGAACGGGATTCTTGCTAAATTATCTACACAGAACGAGGTCTTGAGGATGTTCTTCTGCAAACATCTAGTTTCCTTTAAACAGTGTTTTTGGTGGCAGCAGTTTGCAGCAGTGCCATTGACGAACAAGTACAACAACCAAATGCTTTTCTCAAAGAATTCAGTCATGCCTCAGGCGCAAGTTTGCTTGTTAGGTATTAAGATTTCTCAAACTTTGTTGATAAATTTAACCATAAATTAATTGTTATCTCTGAACACAGACATTCAAATCACCTGCACTTACATATAAATCATGAACATGGCTCAAAAGACTTCATTATAATTAGGCAAGAAAATAAATAGTAAATCACCACAAAAAAAACAAAACCTTAAATTCACAAATGGCTTTTTGTTTCATAAAAATGTTTTCCTTCTTGCTATAATACAGAAAAATGTAAACCGTATGAAATAAAAAATTACAAAACCCTGAACAAATATTAACTCAAAAACGGACAAGCAAAACACAAGGTCTGAGTGGTGTTCCTATGTGTGTTTTAGACCATGTCAGTCCCTTTGTCTCCTTTTAAGTGGGTGACAAGGCCTTTTGTTGGACACCTATTTAGAAGGCAGAGGGTTGTCTGGGGTGGTTGGGGTCAAGACTTCTTTGTAAATGTTCTCAATCTGGTCTTTGTACATCTTCATGACCACTGGCCTCTTGAGCTTCATTGTGGGCCCTGGGAGAGAGAGTTTAAAACAGCTAAACAAACAGCCTATAAATAGAATAGAAATAAAAGCCATCAGTAACACACACAAAGGTCATTACTAGGAAACTTACCCAGCTCTCCGCCAGGGATAGAGAAATCCTTCTCCAAAACGGTCCATTTCTGGATGCGCTGGGCGTTAGAGGTGGCTTTCTCATTGACACGGTTGATGCCTTCTTGAATAGCCGCGTATACGACTCGGTCACGGCCACCGGCGATCTCGCTGACTCGTGTGGAGTTGCTGCCGAGTTTACGACACAACTCCACCGCCTCAGGAGTCTGCTCGTCTTCGGGAGCGCCCGTTTCATTGTTAACCTGACACTGAGAGCCAAAAAAAAGAAGTCATTAGCGTTTTCTAACTGTAAGTTGTGTATATTAAATTAAATGTCTTTTATTAAAAAGTTTCCCCGTCAATATTTAGATAAATCGCAGTTTAACACTAAATTGCGCTCGCGTGTGCAAAACACTCCTGCATGATGCTAAGGTGTTGTTGGTGGTTGCCAGGGGGCAAATATGTGGTTGCTAATATGCTCCGACGGCTTTTAATCATGTCGTTTGCAAAGATGTTCTGAATGCTTGCTATGCTGTTGCTAGGGTTTCTCTAATTTGGTCTCTAGAAATGACGCGGTTCCCTCATTGTAGTTTTTTTTTAATGTCCACCGGGTAAAAACTGTAAATCCAATGTCTTAGATAAGTAATATCACACGTACTAACAAACTACGTGTATTTGAGTCATTATTCATATCAGTAACACAATGCGGGACTTTACACACCTAAATTTACTACTCATTGTTTAGTATGACCAACAATAAGTATATATTAAGTATATTGTATATATTGTAATACTAGTGCTAAGTTTCCTTAGCAAACACCACTAATTAATTACATTTTTCAATTTATAAACGTAAAATTGTTTTTTATATATATATGTATATATGTGTATGTGTATGTGTATGTATGTGTGTGTGTATGTGTACTGTGTTAGGCTAACCGAGACTTGTCATTTGCACATATATATTGTTGCTCTTTTGTTAGTTTTGACTGCTTTTATTGTCCTCATTTGTAAGTCGCTTTGGATAAAAGCGTCTGCTAAATGACTAAATAAATAAATAAAAGTATTATAGTACTGTTGGTTGCCACCAGGGGGCGCAGTGATCCCGAGAAAAGCACGGAACATGTAGTTACACACACTGTCCACTGGTTGGCAGCGGCTTTTAAGTTTATAACTTGGTAATGCTTGAGCATTAATCACTTGATCATTCTGATATGATCTCAGTAGAGTGTAGTAGAAATGTATTCATGCATCTTTAAAATGAGTGTTATCTCTCAGCAACCTTATATAACCCAGCCCTCTGAGTAAGAGGCCTTGGATGAGATGTTCCGATTAGATTTACAGCATTCACGTTCAGGAGAGCATGACATCGGTCAGGATTACACAAGAAGGCCATTAAAAATGAATCAATAATGTTGGATAATCAAAGTTACAGACTTTTCCTTTAGTCATGAACTATGCTTAAAGGGATAGTTCACCCAAAAATGAAAATTCTGTCATTAATTACTCACCCTCATGTCGTTCCAAACCCGTAAGACCTCCGTTCATCGTCTCCACCCTAGCGCCATTTTGGAGAATATCCACTGAACGCAAACAGCGTATGCTGTTCTGTGTCAGCTGCACCACACGGAGGAGACGAATTGTTGAATAAAGTCGTTTTTTTTTTCTTTTGCGCACAAAAAGTATTCTCGTAGCTTTGTAATATTACGGTTGAACCCCTGATGTCACATGGATTATTTTACCGATCTCCTTGCTACGTTTCTGGACGTTGATCGTGGTAGTACCCTTGCTGTCTATGGGAGGGTCAGAGAGCTGTCAGATTCCATCAAAAATATCTTAAATTGTGTTCCGAAGATGAACGGAGGTCTTATGGGTTTGGAACAACATGAGGGTGAGTAATTAATGACAGAATTTTCATTTTTGGGTGAACTAACCCTTTAACAATGTTTTCTAAGCAGGCACAATGCAACAAGCAATTTGTCTCAATCATCTACAGAAAAAATAAAACAGCTAATGTGATTTTGTTGAAAGAGTCACATCGCACAAGGCCACAGAAATAAAACAATTGACAAAATGACACTGGTCAATCATGGTTGGTTAAGATAAAAGCTCTGCATTATGGATAAGATAGCTTTCATCACTTGTTGCTTTATCACATTGTACCTGGTTAGGTTAATAGTGGATAACATTGACAGAGGTTTATATTGGGGTCATCTGCCCTGTACTGATACCTTAATGGTGAGCAGCATGGAGAGGAACTTTCTCTTGTCTCCGATAAGCATGGCATTGCTGATGAGCGGAACGGCCTCTTTAACAGCATCCTCAATGGGCACTGGGGGAATATTTTCACCTCCGGCTGTGATGATCAGTTCTGGGATACAAACATAAACTTCATTACATGCACCAGACTAAATCCCATTGAAATCTGTGGCCACTTTATAATTTAAAATCTTACGCAATGCAACTGGCTCAGTGGTTTCAGTTCCAGTGAGTAAGAGGAAGCACTTAATCTGTTTTCAATTGATGGTCATTACCTTTAATGCGTCCGGTGATGAACAGGAAGTTGTCCTGGTCGTGTTTGCCGAGGTCACCCGAGTGCAGCCAGCCATCTGAATCCAGAGCCTCTTCGGTTTTATCGGGCATGTTCAAGTAGCCCATGAACACATGACGACCCCAGAAACAAATCTCTCCATTGCCATCAACGTCAGGGTTGAAGATCTTCGTCTTACAGCCTGGAATTACCTTTCCACAGCTGAGAAAGAGATACAAATGAGAAATAAACTAAACGTTAAAGCTGAAATTATTAAACTAGCTTTACACAAATTAAGGTTTCAGTACCTGGTGAGTCTGAAGGCATCGGGCAGTGAGATGGTTTGCGGTCCAGAGCTCTCACTCATGCCATAGAGCTCAAACAGAGGAATGTCCAGACTGAGGAAAAACTCCAGCGTGTCTTTGGTTATGGGAGCTGCTCCGGTGTAGCACCTCGTACAGCGATCCAGCCCCAGCGCCTTCCGAACCTTCCGGAACACCAGACACTTCGCCAATCGATAGTTTAATGGCTTTCTGGATAGGTTGCCATTACTGAGGACACAAGACCATTCATCTCCATTAATACATAGCCTAGAATTTATACTAATATTATATCATGTTAAAAAAAATGTCACTAACTGATATATCAATATTCGTAACTAAACTGGTAAAAGAGGCCATCTTATGTAGCATTTACTTTTTCAGTTTATAGATTTTGAATCCCAGATTTTCAATAAAGAAGCCATATTTGACTTTTTATAGCATTTTATTTTTTCCACTTAAGATGACTTAACTGACTTAAAGTCTGAGACCACTTTCTATTTGGCATCTTTCTAATTTAATACAAATCGTTTCTAATTAAAATATATTAGCAGAATAACAGTTTGGGTGAAAAGTTGATTTGAAATGTTTTGTTGGAAATCTGACATCACAAAAATTCTTAATATAATTAAATATATGTTTTATTAATAAATGTTTTATTTTATTCCCGTTTCCTAAAAACAGGTTTAAAATAGATTTTGAATTCCAGATTTTCAATGTGGTCTCAGACTTCTTGATCCAACTGTAAATTAATTTACATTAATGTAATTAATTTAGTTAAAAATGGGTGTCGTATGTTAATGACTGATAGTCCTGTTTGCGTCTAAATGTTTCTACCTTGTTTTGTGTGTGTGTGTGTATTTACATACAGCTCCATTTTGTTGAGGTTGGTCTGCAGGCCCACATCTTTGGCCCAGGATGCCACCTTCCGACGCACAGTGGATGATTTGGCTCCAATCGACTTCATCTTCTCCTGCATCTTCTCCCACACCCGCGGGACACCCATGAAAGCAGTAGGGCGTATCTCACGTAGAGTGTTAGCCAAAGAACCCTGGAACATACAGTGACTTCTATTAAAACGCATCTAAGCAGTCTCAGCATGGTTTGCCATAGGGTTCGTGTTCACGTGTACATGCCAACATCAGCTGATACACCCAGGGTTGTGTCAGGTGACACGAGCAGGTATGTCTTGTCAATTTCTGCCCCTGTGATCCTAAATCAATGACCCTATTGTAAAACAACACTGTGGCGCTACATTGAAACCCACTGATTGAGGCACTACAGATATCACATGCTCAGCTTCTACAGATCACAGGAGACACATAATACACCCGTTTTAATGAAATGTCAGCAGATCTGCATACAGCTTTGGCTTGTTTTCTGGAAAGGGATGAAAATGAAACACTTCTGAACATCACAAAAGCCTTTCTGTGTGAGAGCACTGCATGACTAAGGCTTGCGTTTCATCAAAAGACTCAGTGAAAAATCTCTTTAAAATCAGTTGGTTTAAACTAACAAGATTGTCTTTGGAAGGATCTTCATTTACGTACACAAAACAGAGAGATTGGGGAGGAAAACAGGAAGTGCCTTCACTAACATGTACACTAGATTTTTTAATGTTTTTGAAAGAAGTCTCTTATGCTCACCAAGGCTGCATTTATTTGATCAAAAACACAGTAAAATACTAATATTGTGAAATATTATTAAAATTTAAAATAACTGTTTTCTATTTTAATATATTTAAACATGTTATTTATTCCTATGATAGCAAAGCTGAATTTTCAGCAGCCATTACTCGAGTCTTCAGTCAGTGTTCTATAGAAATCATTCTAAATTGTGGATTTGGTGCTCAAGAAACAGAATTGATTATGACCAATTCTGTGCTGCGTAATATTTTTCTGGAAATTGGGATATTTTTTTTTCAGGACTCTGATAAATATGAGGGTAAGTATATAAGGGTATAAAGGTTATATAAGGATACCTTTAGCGCATCAGGCTGTGCAAAGTACGTGACTCCTCCTGCTTTCATGGGAAGCCAGACGTCAATCATCTGTGCAGCAATATGACTGAGTGGCAGGTAGCTCACGATCACTTCCTGTAGCTTATCTGCATCTGTCAGGCTCACATCTTGGCCAGTTACAAATGCTGTCCATGTGAGCTACAGGAGGAGAGATAACATTTTAGTGCTGAGAATGACTGGTGACTCAGTACTCTATATTGCAGGTAAACCCTCGTTTTTGAGTTGTTTTTTGTTACAATTTGCTCAAAGGTTTTGGAATGTTGTATTGTGGATGTTGTGGGTTAAATATAGGCTATGTTTTGCATTCAACTCACATTGTCGTGACTAAGCATGACTCCCTTTGGCTGGCCCGTGGTTCCGGATGTGTAGATCAGTGTGCAGCACTGATTGGGTTTCTGGGAGCTGATGATATCATCCAGCTGAGCATCAGGCTCATCACGGCCCAGCTTCATAAACTCTGCCCACTATGTGTATTGGATATTTACATAGCAAATGTCAGATTTCAATTAGTAATTGAGGGGGATTAAAACAGAAAGATTAAGGTCTGAGAACTGAACTGAAAATAAATTTACCGTGTAGAGATTGGGCTTTTTCTCTTTCAGCTCATCTTTGTACTGGATAATGGCTTTTAGGTGCGGTAATTTGTCCTGGACCTGAAATGAAGCACACACACAAAGAGTAAAAGATCATCAGGATGTGTTTAATCAACAGGTCTGATTAAACTAGAGACCCTGAGGATTGGTCTCAGGATCTGAGAATTAGCACCAGGAATTACCAGCTAAATGACTAGTATTGTATTTTTGTATTTATTATTTTTTATCTATATACTTCATAAAATCATACTGACATGACCTAAAGGCAGGACAGTTAACATTTATGACATCATTCTCATTAATGCAATGTAAGAATTAAATGGTATTTTTTGTATTTATGTAATTACAATTATGAGAATTTAGGGCATCAATGTGTTTAATTGCCATAAAAATAATGTTACAGCATAAAATCTTACTGACTCCAAACTTCTGAATAGTAGTGTAGATAAAAGTTCTGATCTGAGTTTATTTAGAAAAGGTTCTAGATAGGTTCATTTGGAAATAGGTCTTTCACTCTCATTACCTGCAAGATCTTCTGCAGCTGTTTGTGGTTTTCCACCACAAGGATATTGGCCTGGCAGTTCTCCGCCACATACTGGCATGCCTCTGGAGAGTTGGTGGTGTAGATGCCCACAGCAAACCCCCTGCCAACGACATACAGAATCCCTCAACAAACATCCTCAAGTCTGTTATTGCTGTAACCAAAAGGCAAGCAGTTCTACAACAGGAAACACCTTCAAACATTAACAACATTCCCACCATTCTGACTCCACCTATATGTTTACCAACCCAGACCAGGTTCAGGTGATGCTGTTTAACAAGTGCAGGTCGTGCCTTTATCTGTCTTCACTCAAGTCATAAAGGCAGCTGGACAGTTTATGGCACAGCAGAGCCACTATTTGACTCTGATGAAATGATTAAAGCTTTGTTTGGGACAAACACGGGCCATGTGCTGATGATGAGTTATGACAGCAGAATGCATGTATGTTTATGATTGATTTGAAGACTCAAAGTGTAAAACATCCTAACAATAAACACTTACCCAGCTAAAATAGCCCCGATGTCAGCAATAAACCACTCGACCGAGTTAAACCCTAGGATACCAACACCGTGGTACCGCTCCAGACCGAGCTGTGAACATATAGAAACAGTTAGCACAAGTACATTTGTACATTAAGATTTCAAACCGAAATTTCAATTAGCAGGCCCCATTTGAAGCATAATGTGTTGTTTACATGTAAAAGATGAAGAAGCCTGTCTTATGATTTGAGTCATCACTCATAAGGGTTCCCAGAAGTCCCACATGGCAATTTACATGTTCTTTTTTGCAGTTAAATAAATGTTTAGTGTAATACTGCCATTTATCTCCGTTTAAGATGTTCACTAGTTCAGTAACTCCAAAATGTCATCCAATTCTCAAACAAAGTTTTGCAACAAGACTTTGTGAAGCAGTTCAATTGAATCTGTAAAAAGATCCAGTTTTAAAAAAATGATTCTTTTGTGAGTCAGACTTTTTTTCTATTATTTTTTAATATGAATATGGATGAATGTGCCAAGCTGCATCATATTTAAAATTTTAAAGTCACATCAGGCAAGATACCGAACGCATGTCTTGTCATCTAACACCTCTATTTTGAGTTTATGCGGAGTTTATTAGGGTATACACAACTCAATCTGAATCGCTCCCACAGGGTTTGAGTCAGACAAGTTACACTCCTTTTTAGTTTCACCATAAACAAAACCATGGAAATCAGCCCACACTGGCCACCAGGCATGATGTCCTGTTCCCCGCAGGGAGAACGTGACCAGTTGGGAGTTAAACCTCATCCCAAGACTAGGGCATGCAAAAACTAAAGACGATAAACAAAAGCCTCCCGCTGGAAAGAGAGACTAAAATCTGCCTCTGACTGGGTTGTGCACAATTCAAAAACATGTCCAGGTCATATTACACCACAAAAGCAAAAGACAAAATATAAAATTATATATGTTGAATAAAGAAAGTAAAGCCCAATTTTAAACATTTATCCTAATTCATACTATTTTAATGTAAAAATAAATAAATAAATAAATAGACTTTTCATTACCATAATGGAAAAAAAATAAACGTGATAAAAAAAAATTGGCTTAATTTTATTGATTTAAAATATTTCTAATTTCTGTCTTTTGAAATTGTGGTGAAATAGGACCAGGACTCGTCCCAGACGCCTTCTCACACAGAGCATTAATTGCTGGCACTTTCTCCCTGAGGTAACTTGAGGTCAAATGCTTTACTCAAGGACACAACAGTAATTGCATGAGGTCTGTCTGTGATCTCAATAACAGTTACATCAGTTTTATGCGTTTAAACGTTTTTTAAAGGTTTGTTATCAGGCACCTTTGACACAAAAACCATTCCTTTTATCAGAGACATTACAGTGTCCTTTTAGATAGGACTGTAATGCTAAACAGCCATAATCTCAACAGCAATGGCAAGAAGATAATGAAAATTAGTTACTCGATTTGAGTTACTCGATTGCTGAACAATAAAAAGCCATGGGTCAAATCTGTTATGTTACCTAGGTGCTAGACTCAAAACTCAGACTGTTAATGCTTCTCACCTGATCTTGGCCGACTATATTACAATTAGGGCTGAACAATATTACCTAATGGTAATTAGGTGTAGGGTCAGTGTGAAAGAGTTTCGGGCTAGTTGACAGTCTGTCACATTTGGTTTTGTGTGATGTATTGAACTGATTTACATATCAGTCTAACAGGTTATGACATTTTGTTAAAAGCAGCTTTAGAAAAGCTTTTTAGAAAATGTTTTCTTTTTTTTTTTAGAAAAGCTAAAATTGTATGAATTTATAGTTGTTATCTTAAAAAAATATAATGAAAAATGTAGCATTACCATAAATATACTTTCACTACATTAAAAATGTAATTTAAAAAATATTATTATCAGAAGTAGTGGTAGTAGTATAAAAAACCTGATTTATGTCCTCACCTTGAGGAAGCCTTTGGCAGCAGTGCGGCAAGTCTTGTAGTAGTCGTTGTAAGTCATGGTTTTCCACTGCTCTCCCTCTTTCCAGCTCAGCGCATTGTAGTTGCCAAAGCGTTGGACCGTAGAAGTGAACATCTGGTTCACAGTCAAGGGGGGTTCAGCCTCAGGGCCGGACTCACCCATCCTCAGCTTCACCTCTCCATCCCTGTGTAGAGTCCAGAGATCTGTGCCCTTAATGGGCAGAGAGAGGGAGTTGGGACGAGCGGTGGCACCTAAACAGCCATTTATTGTCATTAATATCTATTTATTTTGCACAGTATTGTCTGATTATCATTTAAAATCACACATTTGTCACCGAACAACCCCTAAAACAGTTCTGTACGAGTAACAAGGTACAGTTATGGTATCGGGTAGGTAGTACTTTGAGATATAACATGATGCTGAACAAATTTGAACAAATTCTTAAACTATTGTATTCAAAGTGTAACTAGTATCTCTCACTAGTATCTCATCCACACACTAGCACAGAGATTCTGATGAGGCTTCAATAGCAGAGCACATTTCAGTATGCAAACTCTTTCAGAAAGTGACACACCCCATTTTCATGATAACAGCACAACTATTTTGTTAACAGTTCAAATTTAAAGGTGCAGCGTGTCATTTTTTCACTTCAAAACAAAAATTCAATCTGTTCATTACACCAATGGCAAGGGTTTATGGCTGGACTACTTGCTTGGAAACAATTCTTGCTTTGGCTGCTAATGGTGCAAAAATTACACACTGCACCTAAAAAAAATTAACAAAATAGTTGAAGACAGCTGAGAACAATATTAACTGGATTTATATAATATTATATAAAATAACATTGATATTAACATATTATTAAAGGGTTAGTTCACCCAAAAATGAACACCCGTTGAGTGCCATTAAACAGCTTGAAAGATCAAAGACAATTTTTAATATAACTCTGACTGGATTCGTCTGAAAGAAGAAAGTCATATACACCTAGGATGCTTCGAGGGTAAGTAAAACACAAGCTAATTTGAATTTTTGGGTGAACTAACCCTTTAACATTTAATAATATTAACATATTTCTTGAATGATTTTGCAGCTGTGCGTGAAAGGGGAAGAAAGTCACCTGAAGCATTGTACAACATCCTGTGCAATATCAGTCTGATAAACACCTAACTATATGCGGAGTTCTGCAAAACTGTTTGAAATGAAAAACAAAGCCATCACAGCAGCTTGACCTGTAATCCAAGGCCATGTGACTTGATAACCTAATTCAAAGCTCTGTTATCTTATGTAAGCACAACAGACCACAGCAGTGCGATGGAACTTCTGGAAGTTCACACATGGGTTGTTTTAAAATTGACAACTGTGTAACTTTTTATAAACAAACTCATATGTGACTGTAAATGTCCTATAAAAACATTGTCACCCTGTCATGCATCCATTGTCATGCTATGCGTCTAAAGGAAAGGGAAGTTAGTTTGCATAGGGACAGCAGCTTCCTTTTCAAACACTTCCTCTACTGAGCACTCAAAGGCCCAACTGATGTCAAGTTCTCGTAAAGCTGAAGTTACATAAGAGTTTTCGTGATGAACACAACACAACTTGAGGTGCAAGTTGTGGGTTAGTGCTCTGGCCAGCTTTCCATTGCTCTGCTCTTTATCTGTGTTATGCAGAACTGAATGCACAAATGGTGGTTTTGGGGCCTCAAAAAGACGTATATGACTTGTGTTCAAAATGGCGGTTATGGTCATATGTGTGTGCATGAGCGAGAGTAAGCGAGTATGTTTGTATGCAAGCACCCAAGGGTTTGTGAGTTTAAAGTGATTTGCGAGTGTTTGTAAAACAGCAAGTGTGTGTGATCTCACCTGATTCTGTGTGTATTCTCTGTTCGACTTTGGCATTTGATTGCTCTTCTCTGGAACATGCGGATTTCTCCTCCGATGACTCACTGTGAGGTAATAAGGAAATCAGACTTTTCCAGACAAGCAGCATTCTGGAGTTGAAATAGTTTAATTTCTTTCTCAGACACCCATGAGTATCACATTACATTACTTACATTATTCTGTGAGCTTCAGATTAAATGAGTGTTAATGTTTTTCACCATAATGCAAAACTTGTGGCCTTTTATGCTTGTAAGGGTTGATTACAATTGCCTTGCAGTGAATTTTAGCCTTAGACGAAGTCACATGACACAGTTGTTCATCTATGTGAAATTCAATGCCAATGTTGTCAGAGCTTTTAAAATTAAATCTTAAGATGTACAGTATATCATACAGTCTGACATACACTAATGTTTAACAGTTTGGGGTTAGTGATTTTTACTTTTGGAAAGAATTTCATACTTTTATTCAGCAAGAATGCATTGATTTGATCGAAAGTGACAGTAAAGACATTTAAAATTAGAGATGCACCGATTGCAATTTTCTTGGCCGATACTGATTTTTGCCGATTCCGATTTTCTTTCTAAGAACTATAATTGACAGCATATACAAACAAAAATCTACTTTTCTTCAACGCAAAGTGTTATTTTCATTAAAAAAAACACAAGTAAAAAGTCAGTAATAAAATAAGAACAAATAAAAAAATTGCAAACAACAGCACAAATAAATGCAATAGAATAAAGAGAGCTATGAAACTAAGTTTTTCAGGTTAAGTAAGTTATTATTCAGGTAAGAAATACTACAGAAATTAAAGTAATCAAATGTAAAATAAGACATCCAGTGTTATTTTAAATTTGATTACTTTAATTTCTGTAGTCTTCATTGTAAAAATTAAATACAGATTAATGCTTACCATTAAAGTTATAAAACGTATTCAATCAAGAGCAGAAAATTATTTTCTTTGTCGTTTCTTCTACGGTTAACATGACAGACAGCAGCAGGAATATTGGACTGCGGGCCCTTTAAGAGTTTGTCCACGGACCCAATATACTGTAACACAACATGCGTTCTCTTTCTCAACTATTTAACGTTCCAAAACTGACTGTGTTTAACTGGATACTCGCCAAGACGGGCATTTTGAAATAATTTTGTATGTATTTGAACGTTTTAGCGCAGTTAGCCACTCATTTTGGTATTTGTGGCTCACAAGCTGTTTGAGACTGAGCGTGGTTTGTGCGCTCCACTAATATAGATCAGTGGTGGGGCGCGGGCTTTTGGTGTAAGCGCGAAACCTGCGGGAATGACTAAAATAATGCGCAATACAAGCACTATTTAACCGGAGCGAATGAGACGTGTGTGAGTGAGAGAGAAGGGGTCGTCGGAGAGAAGAGAGCGAAAATGCGCGGCTGATGTTATTGTCTGTGTTTTGGTAACAAAACAGATCGGCTCGGAATCGGAAAGATGTGAGACTGATCGGCCGATCACCGATCCAGGCCGATCATGAGAAAAATCGGCCGATTCCGATCCCTGGCCGATCGATCGGTGCATCTCTATTTAAAATGTTACAATATTAAAATACTGTAATATAAAAACATTATTACAGTTTCCACAAACATATTAATCAGCACAACTGTTTTCAACACTGATAATAATTACGTTTCTTGAGCACCAAATCAGCATTTTAGAATGATTTCTGAAGGATAACATGACACTGAAGACTGGAGTAATGACTGCTTAAAATTCAGCTTTGCCATCACAGGAATAAATTATATATTCTAAAAAATATATTATAACACCAAGTAGTTATTTTCATTTTTTTCATTTTTTTATTTTACACCCTTTGCCTTCATACGGTTTCATTTGACTTCCTTTACACAAGAACTGTAAACAACATAAAAAGTGATGATGTAATGAATCTTTATTTGATATTGATGTTATTCATTATGTTAAATGTATCTTTATTTTTAATGAATCTGACATGGCAGAGTCAAACATCCAGTGACAATACAACCAGTTTTTAATCCAATGGCAATGCTAACACATGCCTTCATTCTCATGTTTACAAACACAAAACTAATGTGGTTTATCAAGCTCGTATGTATAAATAACCATGGGAATTTCGTTGCAGACCTGACCTAGTATGCACGCATGTTAAGTGTATTTGAACATAAAACAAGAAATGAAAAGGAACTGACTTTGCTGTAGACTCTGCAGTGGCATCTTCCAGGGAGGCGAGACTGTTTGCTGTTCCACAGGACTGGAGGAGGCTCGCGTCCCCTGCATGGTCCATCACTACAGCGGTGGACGTGGCCGTAGGTTCACACGTGGTCACTAATGTGAAAACACAGATTGTTAGGAGTAGCACTCAACCGATTTTGTTTTTCAGTGCCTAATGTCAATATCTAGAGAGAAGGGTGGACTTTAGCAAATATATACAATTTAATGACTGAGAAATATATGAAACAAATCATTAAATTAATGTTTATTTTACATAATATTTATGAAAATAGAAGATTCATGCTCTCAAGTTAGTCGCTCAAAAACAGACGTCTTTTTTCAGTAGGGTTTCCCCACATGAAATCAACAGTTTTTCCCCCTTCAATCAAAGAAGATCATTCACTATTATATCAAACTTTGGGAACAAGTTGTCCAAAATCATTTCCGAAAAAAGGAAACACGTCACTACATCCAGAAAAATATTGCTGCCCACCCTTTTATTTTCTTCTGCCCTCTCCATTCCAAAGCCTGACCTCGGCACCTTTAGAACGTCATGTTGTTTTTACACACCGCTGCCATGAAAACACATGCCAGCGATGCTACCGGCCTTCTGTAATGAGCTCTGGCAGCATGACTCTCAGAAATGGCCAGCGGAAAGTAAAACAGGCTTTCAGATGTACCGAACAAAGTGAAAGAGTCTAAAATAAACCCAGGGCATGGAAAACAAACCTGGTGCTATTCATCAGCCTCATGCTTCATGACCTCTTGCACAAAGGTTTTGGTTTTAGGTGCTTTCAAGGATGAAATTATGAATATGGTGGTTTATTATAGTTATGAGCAACACTTACCCAAAACGTACTGTGGTAGTACTGACAAGATTGTATCTATAAACTATAAACAAGATTGGTATATAAACTATTGTTACACTGAATTACATTATAGTGGGTGTCTGTTGTTTGTTTTGATGCTTGAAAACCCCTTTTCCTCTTTAACCCATTTACATGGCATTCCATGTTTTTTTAAAGAACACCATTGGATTTACATGTCCAAAAAATACATTGTTAGTGATAGTGAAAAATGCCTGTTTGTCTTTTACTCAGTTAATAGAATGCTTTAGCCTCTTCTCTTCCCTCTGTTCCAATCAATTCACCTTGGCAACTTGCCTCCCAGCAGAGCCATCTTCATCTGCCCTCAGTGGGTGCCATGGCAAGAGATCCTTACAGAAACACTCTAACCTCGTCCAGCCCCAACTGACTCTCAGCATGCACTCAACAGATGCAAATCCTCGTCTTGGCTGACGTCAGCTCGCCTGATAACATCCTCATAAACAGACTCCCTTGTCTGGAAACTCAAGGCACTGTAGTAAAATTTGGAGGGGTTCATTTGAGATTTATGAACCCATGTGGCTTTGCATCTTGTTGCTGGTTTGACTGATGTTCCCTTGTGTGTTTTGTAGCTGGTGGGTAAGGATGGAACCGATCAGCATTTTAGAACATTCATAAGATTCCCACATTACACTGTAAGATAGTTTTGACATTTATCTGGCTTTGTACTCAAGCAACCTTTATGTTACAAACCTGAATTTCCAATGCTTGAATACTACCAGGCATTTCATTACCTAGAAATACATATCTTCATTCCACACATTTCAGTTTATTCTCTCTTCAATTATTTATCTTATCTTAATCAGTCCAAAGCTGTGAATATGTGGTTATGGCCATGTTCACTCTACAGTGATATACTGCATTCATAGTGCTACTGGCCTTCAAATGTGACAGCAAAAACAAAAGAATCACGGAGGTAAAAAAGTGATATTTCCGTCCTAATGACTAATATATCAGCTGATGTTCAACTGGCTGAAATGTCATCCTTCACTTAACATCATATCTCAAAACGTCTATATATATATATATAT